GATAGATAGATAGATAGATAGATAGATAGATAGATAGATAGATAGATAGATAGATAGATAGATAGATAGATAGATAGATAGATAGATAGATAGATAGATAGATAGATAGATAGATAGACAGATAGATAGATAGTTAGATAGATAGATAGATAGATGGTTAGATGGATAGATGGATAGATAGATAGATGGATATATAAATATAATCAATTAAATGAAAAATAATAAAAGCAATAATAATAATAATAATAATAATGAAAAACGATAAAAGGAGCATTAGTATTATCGATTCTGTGTGTTGCAGATTGGCCTAAATTTAAATACATAAATTTCAAGGTTATGATATATACATATATATATATATATATATTGAAACGTATATACGTTTATTTATTCTGAAATCATAAAAGCCACGATTATGTAGAGGTCACACGTGTTTCTCAAGTAACATAACCTGTCTTTATTTATTTTTTAAGAAATCTATGCCAATTTTTTAAGAGCCAACAACTTTGCCTTTTTATTGTAACTTACTTTCTTGGTCTCTAAAGATGCACACTGTCAATCACATCAACATTATCAATATTCTTCACCCTGTCACATTCAATTGATTAAATTGGAAGACCAACAAATTCTGACCCCAGATGATAGAAGGCGAACAGTTGTTTATGAGTTTCAATTTATAAAATTTCTCTCACATGGAGCCACAGACGGCACAGAGTGTGAGAAAGAATTGTAGACTTAATGAGAGGCTTGGGAGAGATTCTTAGGACGGTTGACACTTTTTTCTGGTGATATCCTGTTGTGTTGGCAGGGCTAATCTGATCCGGTAACACCTGTTCTGTTGGCAACCTGCTCTGTGGACATTTTGGTCTGATGGAAACCCCTCCTGTTGACACTTGACACCCTGTTCTGCTGAAACGCCGCTATTTTGGCAGCCTGTTATGGTCAAATGTCGCTAGGGTGGCACCCTGTTCTGGTCAAATGTCGCTATGGTGGCACCCTGTTCTGGTCAAATGTCGCTATGGTGGCATCCTGTTCTGGTCAAATGTCGCTATGGTGGCATCCTGTTCTGGTCAAATGTCGCTATGGTGGCATCCTGTTCTGGTCAAATGTCGCTATGGTGGCAGCCTGTTCTCGTCAAATGTCGCTATGGTGGCAGCCTACAAAAATTGTATAAGAAATGAATTCCTCAGAAATATTTTGCTCTTGTGACAGTATATGTGGCCAGCTAAATAAAGAACACTGAACATGTGTTGGGGTATTGGTTGCTGGGCAACTAGTTTAGCTTAATGTCTTTCTTGTACACGACATGTTGGCCCACTGGCTGAACCTAGATTCATTAAATATTTTGAAATGAGATAGTATATTAGATTCTACCATTCAAATTGAGGATGTGAAGTCTGTTTCAGGACATAAATGTTGGAAATGGTTAAACAAAGTCCCAGACTCATGATGTATAATATGATTTATTTATCTGGACATTTTGCTAATCGAGATCATAAAACTTTAGTTGATGTTTATCTTGAAGTATTGTTATGGCAATATGCAGTTGTGGTATATGTAGTCAATATGTTATTTTAAAATATTTGTTGCCCGATGTTTTTT